ACATGCCTGGCCAGACTATGCTGGAAATTGGGGGCAGCACACGAAGCGTGGCATGCCTGATGGAGGCCCCCGTCTTTTGCTTGGGAGCTCTGGCGCGCTCCCTGTTTCAAGCAGGCCCGGGCGGGTTGCCTGGCGCACCTGTGGCGGGGGAACAGCAGCAGGGTCGCCACTGCGAGGTGCCGCAGATGCCGGGTGCGTTGCGAAGAACCCTGCGCGAGGCGACAGCATTCACACGCGTACGCTGCTTGGTACCTCGTAGGCGAGCGGCCGTAGAACGCAAGCTCAGCCTAGGAATTTCAGAGAACAAGACGCCGGGCTGTGCAAAGACGGAAGATGCTCACCATGCATGTTGGGCAGGCACATCAAAGGTCTCCGCTCATGGTTTCCCCAGAGATTAGAAGCTCCGTGTGAGGGCATTCTTGAAGAAGCGCAAGTGAATGGGCTCCTCTTTGTGTCGAAAGGGGCGACAATTGTGCACAAGGGATCGTTGCAAATCTCTCTGACGACCTTGAACACGTCTGCACCTGCCTGTTGGCTTCCGGGGCAACAAATATGAATGCTGCCCTGAGTGTTGCGCAGCTTAATTTCAGGAAAGTGTTCTTGGACAAGGTCCAAATGGAACTGAGCGCTTCTGCCTCGAAGAACTGAACTCTCCGAGGCATTATCTTGATGGGCCATAAAACACATCTTGCATTAGCCATCTGATCCATGTGTTCATCTACTCTGAAATAACTCCTATGGAGTTCAATGGGACTTACTAGTATGTCAAGGTAAATAGGACTGCATCCTTCATCGTCAATGTATTCAATGAATAATACACAGAAACAATTCTGTACAGGAACCATTAACAACTGGCTGAGAAAATGAACAACGGAAGAGTCAGGGAGGGGCAATTTATTATTTGTAATGATTGGATTCCATTTGTCCAATTCTGGAACAGATATTTGTTTAAAACTGACAAATTTAATAAGCTTCCATAGGTTCATCTTCATCAGATACATACATTTTTATGTTCAGTTGGCAATTGCATATAAATAGGGGTAGAGAGGGAGGAGAAATTGAGGCTAAGTGGCTATGAAATGCAAGGTGTGCAGAACTGTCTCTAACGATGCTCTGGGAGGCTACAAAGCAGCCGAGTGACCACTTCCCAGAGGCTGGCCATCTTAATAAGATTTGCAGAGGGGTAGCAAGCGATTGTTCCTCAGGCCCAGCACCTGGACTCCACAGAGGCTTCTGCTATTGCCATACCTGAGATATTATTATTATTATTATTATTATTATTATTATTATTACATTTTTTTATACTGTCCATAGCCAAAGATCTCTAGGCAGTTGACAGCAATAATCATAGAATCATACACTCAAGTCACCCATCCCACTTCTACCCAGGCCTGACCCTGCTTAGCTTCCAAGATTAGGCAGGATCAGGCACTTCAGGCTACATGGAAGCTACATGGAAGATACACCTTACATGACTGTCTGCAGGCTTCCAGGCTCATGAGGCAACGGGCGTCCCATTGAGGCAGCAAGCATTACCTGAACCCGCTCTCTTCTGCCTGCTGCTCGGGGAGCTTTGCTCAGCAAAAGGCGCTTTGCCCTGGCCTTGTGGTGCTGCGGTGCTGCTCCGAGACGGGCCCGACTGCTTGTAGCTTGAATTGTGGCTTGGTGAGGACTTGGCCGGGCAGGGCGATGCGATGCAGCTCCTTCTTGGGCCTTCTAACCCAGTCCAGCCCTTGCAGCGTTGCTTGCTGGTGGCAAAGGGGGCGAAGGACAGACGGGGACGTGGGCAGCAGAACTCCTGCACAAGCTTCCCACAACCACTGCTCATCTCACGGTTGATTCTTGGGGTGTTGCTTGAGGTGCAGGGTGAGAACCTGACTTGGGCAGAGAAGGACTCGTTACTGGCAGGGAACACCTACTCTTGAGCCATAACATTTGTTCTAATAGGACTGAGGACTGCAATCTTAGTAATTTTTTTCTGAAAGGAGCGAGAAAGTGAACCGAAAGCCAAATCTTCCACGAGGGAAGTGAATAAAAAGTCCTTGAAAACCCCCATGGAATAATAACGTACTTTTGGAGCATGGAGGTGATCGTCTACAGTGAGCAGATGGGGAAACAAAGGCTCCGGATTTTAAAAATCATATGCACGCAAGATGCTTGTGCTATGAAATAGCGGGCTGTGGTTTGCTGCACTTTCTCGGCCGTTGGCATCAGCCCCATTATGTGTCTGTGCTGCAAATGCCTTGAAATTGATCAGCGCTGGGCCAGGAAATGCTAATGAGGGTTTTAAAATACATATGATAAAAGTGTTAAGGGCCAGCCAGGATGCCCAGCGTAACAATAACTTTGCATCCTAAGCAGTTGCCAAGTGGCTGGAAGAGGACGGATGAAAAGGCACTTTTGTTATTCACATCAGCAGTTGAAAGAGCCCAAGTGGAAACAGATGTTCTCTGGAAAACTGCGTCAGAATTACCAAGTAACCGTCTGTCGCCAGAGCAAATAATTCCTAGTGAGAGATGGGAAGAACATCTTAAATAACTGGATTTTTCCCCTGTTGGAAAAAGAAAACCCCTTAAAATGGCTTAAGGGCTGTCAGTCCTGAAGAGCGTGTTGCAAAGTATTTGCAGAACCTTACACATATGTGCACTTTGGCGCGGTGGCAACGGCTAAAGGCAGCGGAGGAGGAAGGAAGGTGTCAAGACGATTCCACATCCTACAGCTGACTTGGAACAAAGGAGGATCGAATCGTTTGCTGAAGATGCTTCTTTGCCGCAGACATGGGCCCCTTATGATCCGAATGACATCACAGCTGCTTTTAAAAGGGTTAAGAGCAGGATGGGTTCTGAACAGAGGGAAACATTATGGGGGGTGGTTTGTTTGTTTGTTTGTTTGTTTAAACGCCTACATGGTGTCTGCGTTAGCCAAATGGCACTCTAAGCAGTTTACAACAGTTGAGCTTTGGATTATATACGTATCTGATTGCGAGTAAGAAGGGTAACCCGACTGGTAGATAATGGAGAACTCTGCTCTCTTGAAATCATCATATTTATTCATTAGTTGTCATTCAAAAATTTTGGGTCCTGCGTCCGAGTTCACACAGATAGTTTTGCACAGGTTTAAAGCAGAATACACGGAGCGTGGAAAGGATCACAGTATTCAGTATCCAGTAGCACATGGTACCCACTTTAGTAGACTTGCTGGTTTCCTGCTCCAGACTCCGCTACTTTCACCTCCCTTCACTTCTCTCTCGTGACACCTTCCACAATGTTGGAATCTACACTGTAAGCTCACTGAGGGCAGGGGCCTCTTTTTCCTTCCCAAGTTACCTTTGGAGTCTCTGACATTGTACTCGAGTGGGACAGACTGCCTCTGCTCCGGGTTACCTTTTTTCCCCATAGCCCACAGCCGGTTCCTTCATGGGTTGCAAACCACAAGCCCTAAAGAACCACAGGGTTTGAGTCACACTCCCCAACCCACAAAGGAGCAGATTATGGGTTGTGGAGTGACTACGGAAGAGGTGGGCTTGCTGCCCCCTACTTGTGCAGGACAAAGTGGCAGGTTCTCGTGGCATGCGAACCAGGCCGGGGGCTCACAGCTCAGCGGCCGAGCGGGGAGGGGGGGTAATTTCTCCAGCGATCCAGGGCAGGGCTTCGGTGCTCTGCATTGCCCTTCTCCTCCCTATTGCTTTCAAAAGCCCAACCACATTAGGTCTGAAACGCAGAATAGCTTGTGCCGAGTGGGAGGGCTGATAGGAATGCACTGCTCCGCACAGCTGCCCCCAGCTGCCTTGTGGGAAGGGCCGGCAGCCCAAGGGGGAAGGGCGGGCGTGAGGTGGAAGGGCTCGCGCTCCACTCCCCCTCGGCACATTAAATTTCTCTGTAATATGGGTCTGCTCATGCATCGCAGACAGCTTTGCTTTGCTTTGCTTTGCTTTGCTTTGCTTTGCTTTGCTTTGCTTTGCTTTGCTGTGCTGTGCTGTGCTGTGCTGTGCTGTGCTGCAGCTGGGAAGCCAGACAATTGCAACAACCGGGTTATGAATGCAAGTCAGAACGGTGTTGGCAAGCTTGCCAGCTAATTTGCAATGAAGGACTCATTACCTGGGGATAGTGGGAGCCACCGAGCACAGCTGGCTTTATGCAAGCTGTTACTTCTAAGGCAAGCTGTTTATGTGCTGGACCTGCCTTCATGCAAGCAGTTTCTCAGGGTAAATGCAAACGCCCCAGAGGCCTGGTTCGCACCTTCAAACAGCCCCCCAGCTTGTGAAGCTCTGGTGAGCCTTGGCGTGTGCTTGGCAGTAGTTTGCGTGTTCTGCCCTGCCCGAACCCAGCCGCCGCGTGCTACACGAGAGTAGTTTTTCCATTCAAGCCCACCTTCCCCAGGATGCCTTTCCATTTGTGGGAGAAAGATGGAGCGCCCTGCCCTGTATCTCTTTCAAAACCCACCTAGCTATGAATGGACTACACTGAGGCACATTTCTACCTGTGTACTCCATTGGAATGATAATGTTGCAGCTTAATACCGCAAAATATTGCTCTGCTGTGCTGTCCCTTCCCTCCTCCTTTTGCAATCAAACTGTGAAGTCCCAACTTAACCAAGATTTCCTGTTTCATCTGAATCAAGAATCTATGGTTAGCAGGTTTAGAACAAGCCAGGAACTTAAATCGACTTCAAACCATGGTTTAAGACCCTGCCTTGTTCTCATCTTGGCAATGACAGGAACCTGGGCACCCTTCCCCTCACTGTTTTCTGTGCCTTGCACCCAGACGTAGTCAAAAACACTTATCAAAGCCCAGTTGAAACCAATAGTACTGAAGTCAGTCAGGAGTAATGCATAGCCCATGGATTTCAATGGGTCTGTTCTAAGTATGATCAAATATGATCCGAGCGGTGTCAAGAAATGTCTCCTTTTGCCCATAAATCAACCCAAGTATGTATGCTAATTTTCTGATACTGCTTTAAATTTGAATAACTTGCTTATGTAAAAGAATCACAGAACCGATTTAGTTTCTTTCTTCAGAAGCATCGGCCACAACAGAGCTGAGGAATCTTTTTCGAATCCTCTCGGTCGTTAACATGACATCGAGGTCTCGAAGCTGCTTCAGGAATCTGGAAGAGACCCCTCTGCGTGGCCGCACCGTCTTCAGGGCATCCACAATGGTTTGCTCTTCACAGATCATCAGGAAGGCGAGCACGAGGATTGTGGAGCGGGTTATCCCCATGGCACAGTGCACCAAAACTTTCCCTGCAATTTTGTTGAAAAATTGTCACACAGTTGGCACACACTGTGATGCACACATACCACACTCCAGAAACTTGGCAGATGCAGAGACATGCCAGTGGGCCCAGAAATTATGAGGCCCAGCGGAAGATGGCCCAACCCAACTGTTCCTTCGTGTCCTTCCACCCCCACCTGCAGCGAGTGGAAATACCCGTAAAGGATGGCACCTGGGCATTTATTTAAAGCCTTTTCTGACACTCATTTTCACCTGTTTTTTCAGCTCTTGCCAGTCAATGCTGGGGTTTGATCATCCAGCTGCCTCGAGGAAAGCAATGCCTTTCGTTGCTGCTGACAGAATGCCGGGATCTTGCCATCCCCTGAATTACAGACGGGTTGTCACACTTCCTCCTCCATGCTGCCTGTTCCCCATGGCTGCCGCTGCATCTCTTGCAAGCTTAGCCCAGCCTTCTCTGCACACATTACTAATTGTGCACTTGTGATCCCTCCCTCATGGAGGTTTGTGGGAGCTCCACCACATCTGCCTCCTCCAGGGTCTCCACTGACTTTTCAGCCATTTTTGGCAGCCTTCTTTGGAGAGAGGAAAATCGAGTGTTTTCCTAGCTGGAACCATTGTTCGCTAGAGAACACCAGGGTGTCTTTGTAGGTCCTGCCTGTAGCCCAGTATTTCGGGACCTGTCAAAAGGTAGAGAGGAAAACCTCCAGGGGAAAAGCAGGTCAGCCAACGCCCCCGGCAGAACCAGCTCGTCTCCTGCAGAACCAGCTCGTCTCCTGCGAGGCATACGAAAGGGGAAGGCCCAGTCAAGGCCCTGATTCCGCGCGGAGCCCCGGCCTTCCTTTGCATGGCTTGCAGCAACGGACAGAGGGCCCAAGCCATGGATGGAGGGGGTCCTGCATGAGAATGGGTGGGTGGGGCCAGGGTGGGCTGACAGCGCAATCCGGACCCAAGCAGAAAGCAGGGGCTGAAGGTGCAAGCGAGGGGAGGTTGCTCGGGGTGACGGGGAAGGTGCCCACGGAGCCCATGAATCCTGGCGCTGAGGGCACATGGGTTCCACCTGCACCGAGGAGCAGAAGCGCAGCTGCAGCTGAGGAGCCTCTTCCAGGACTGACTGCGGTGCCGCTTGGGAAGGGTGATCTGGTCGGGGAAGGGGAACCGCTCCTCCCAGCGGCCAGCACACCCAGTCACCCGCGTGCTTCTGTGACTAAGCTGGGGAGAAGCCTTCTGCTGGCCCCGGTTACGGTGCAGGTGGGGGGCGGGAGCGCACGGGAGCCCACCCTTAATCTGGCCTGCCCCCTTCCTCCGGGGGCCTCCGGCCGTCACACGTGGGGGAACGCAGCGCTCGAGCTGAAGAAGGGTCCCTGCCCGGTCCTGGCCAGTGGCATCGCCGGGTCCTGCAAGGGGCCGCCCCGAGAGCTTTGCCTTGCACTCACCTCCGGGGGACTTCAGCGCTGCTCTTATATATTCCGCAACTGGGTAGAAGTGGCTGCTGAGATCAACGTTCCCCCTGTTGTCTGTTTCAACCCCGTAGTAATCCACCTGCAGGTCTTTGTGGGACTTGGGCCCGGAGGTGATGTGGCTCCTTCTGGCGGCAGCGTTCACGATGTGGGTGATGCGCAGCTGGCGGAGCTGCTCAATATCACGGGCTATGAATCTGCAAAGAAGAGCAGAGGCCTTTATCCACTGGTGGGTAGTGCGGCTCTCCGGCCAGAGCCCCCCTTTTGGGTGGGCTTTGGTGTGCCGTTCATATGGGGGGCAGTCCTCCTCCTCCTGGAAGCAGCTGGGGCTGGTTTGTTTCTTGGGGAGATGAGGGTGATGCAAGGAAGCCCCTGTGAGCACCCCAGTAACCTTCTCTCCCCGTGTTCACAGGCTTGGCAGGTTTTTGACTCGCTTAAAGGTTATTTTTATACACGAGTTATTCCCATAGGTGGGATGTAATGAGGAGGAGGAGGCAGCGGTGGCAAAGAGAATGATGGAGGAGGAGGAGGAGGAGGAGAGTGATGACAATGATGGCACAGATGCTGAGTTTGCTCCCTACCAGCTCTGAAAGCTGCCTGTACTCACAGGTCTCCGACGTAGAGGTTAGGCCAGACTTCAGTGACGGTTCTGTGGCAGAGGAGCGGCTCCCAGAGCATGTACTGCAGCTCTTCCAGCTTGGGGGTCCTATAGTAGCTCTCACTGGGGGGAGGGGGCGCAGAGGCGGACCGTATGGAGGGGCGCCGCAGGCCCTCTCGCCTGAGTTGGTCCCAGGACATCCTGCAAGGAGGTGGAGAGCGAGGGAGAGCACGGCGCTCCTGTCAGCCATGTGGGGCACAGGGGCGTGAGCTGGGGACACACGGGACAGACTCTGGCTTGCTCTGCCACTCGTTTTACTCGGCCAGCCACCTTCCTGGCAGTCCTCTGGACGGTGGGGCCAGAAGGGGGCGGGGGGCACTCCTCCGATCGCCTTGGTGCCCAAGAAGAAAGCTCGGCACTGGCTCCCTCTCTCTGCTCTTGCTCAGCGTCCTTACGCCAGAGCGGCTGACTCGCACGGACACATGATAGAACAAGGGTCGCTTCCGCATTAAAAAGCCAGGCTTGAATCCAGACCAGGTCTGGGCCTTGGGAATGGCCCCGAACGTGCTCCTGCCGTTCCATCCCAGGGGGCCCTGCAAGTTCTGAACCGGTGCAGAGGCTGCAGAGGGGTGGCCCCGGGGAGGTGCTTGGCCCGTGTGCGCCAGACGCCCCCCCACCCCAAGAGTCCTTTGGGCTGAGGCTGCTCTTGGGGCCATCCCTCTCTACGGATGTGGGGGCAGAAGTGCCTTCTAGGCATGTGCTACCCCACGGAGCCCTTTCCGGAGATGAGAGGCACTGCACCAGCCGTTCCCGCAGCCGTCGCCCCACCTGGCCCACCCCCTCGGCTGGACCGGATGGCTGCCCAGAATGGGCAGGAATGGTTGCAACTGTGTCCAATCCGAGCCCTCCCTCCAGTTTGACGGCCAGCATGTTCCGGGTATCTTACTTCAAATATTTAAAATATTTATGCACTCGATAAAACATCCAGTGTGGCTAGCCTATCATAAAACAATGGTAAACAAAGAACATGATTTAATAATAATAATAACAACAACAATTAATACAATAATACAGTGGTACCTCGGCTCACGAACGCCTTGGTTCACGACCTAATGGGTTGTGAACAAAAATTTCATAAAAATTTTGACTCAGGTTGTGAACTCCACATTGGGTGGCAACCGCCATCATGGCCATCTCCCCCCCCCCACCGCCGAGTGGGGAGACGGCCGTGATCGTGCTGGGGGCGGGGGGGGGG